AGATGCTTATTCTTGTCATAGATTATGTAGACATCAATCCGACCGCGGAGAAGAGCATTATCATGGTCCACGGCTGGCCCAGTCTTTGGAGCTCCTGGGGGCACCAGATCGAAGAGTTCAACGTAAACATCTCTTCCATCAGCCGACGACCGTCATGTTGATTTGTTTCAGGACGAGTATCGTATGATTGCTATCGACGTTCGTGGTTTTGGGGGTTCAACACACCCCGTTGATGTACAGTCTTCCAGCACGTTGGCCGATGTCACTGGTGATCTCACTTGCGTTCTCGAACATGTCGGGATTCAAGCCGCTATTTGTCTCGGGTATGTTTTGCAGAAGATCTAGTCCGACTTCCTAATATCTTTGTGCTAGTCATGACTGGGGCGCTGAAGTCTGCTACGAGGCTGCGAGGAGACGACCTGATATCTTCTATGCCTTGGTTGGCGTGACCGTTCCGGTAAACAGATCACTGTTTCATCAATTTCCCTGCCCAACAATCATAACCAGTATTTGCACGCTGCTGGCCCTTTTGCAGACAGCGCTCAGCTCGCAGCAGTCATGCCCAAGCTAGCTTACCAAGTTTTCTTCGAGAACAACACAACAGAAGCCATAGCTGAGCTGAACAAGGATATCAGGAGAAGCCTACGTGCTACGTTGCGCACAGTAGACACCACCCCTCCAGATAGCTTCCTCACAAGCACCACCACTTATCTCGGTGCATATGACAACGTGACGGAGGTATGATTAACCCTCATTCTAGCATAAAGCTTACTAACCTTGACTAGATTCCTCCGATCCCATTTTTCAGTTCTTCCGATGAAAAGTATTTTGTCGAACGGTTCAGCATACAGAAATTTGACCACAGTACGAAACTGAATCCATCAGATACCATACTAGGCTAATCCATACCCCGCAGCTCTCTTATTCTACACTCGCGGAGTGCGTAGATGTCTTCTTGCAATGAACTCATAACTGAACGATGTGCTTAGAACCGTCATGGAACATGGCAATCTACTCAAGCGCAAGGAAATTACACCATTCCCCAGCCCGTCTTGTCTGTTTTACCTCTAAACGTGAGTCGTTTGTCCAATTGCAGGACATTATTCATGCGCACCACCCCAGGATCCCGTCGCAGACTGGGTATTCGCTGCCAAATACTTGAAATCCGCGACCTTCCTGCCACAATTGACGACCAAGGTGTGTGATTTGATCTTTTTCCAAGGACTACGTGATAATCGAATGCAGACAATGGAGGGCGCCCACTGGCCCCACCTCGAGCACCCACAAGTATTCAATGACATTCTCAGAGCATGGTTAGAGACCTTGGAACATTCTCTCACGCCAGCCCAGCGAGTCTTCTCGGACGAATTGTAATCCACAACCTTTTTCTTATAATTATTCACGATTCTTCAAGGACCTAGAAATGTAGAGTAGACACCCAAGGACAGGTGTACAATAATAATAGCAAGCATGACGCATTATGTACATGGATCAGTGGGGTGATCCACCAGATGAACATATCTAGACGTGGTGAGGTGTTACTATGTAGGAACAACATAGACAGTGTGCATAAGTACAGTACAGCATAGGACAGTAGGGTCATATGAGTGCATACATCGCCGGAGTAGATCACGACATTGAATAAGTTACGCGTCAGGAAGGCCATTACCATTCTGCAAACCGACACCCAGGGTCTGGCGGAGTAGCATTTCAACACGGTCCCGCTCGTCGTTGATGCGCCCCATCTCGTCCTCCCAGCGCGCGACGCGGTGGTCGTATATTGAGCGAAGGGCACCGAGACTGCCGAGAGCAGTCTCGAGCGCACGCTTGAGATCGCCTTCCCGTGATTCCGAACTGCAGTCGGAACCATCACCAGAAGAAGTCGAGTTGAGGAGCCTCTCAACAAGCGTCGTGCCCTTGGCGCGGGATGCTCGTCGGCGAGCAGCAATGCCTCGGAAAGAGTTTCGGATGTTAAGCATGCTCGGAGACTGGGTCCCTATTTCACGACGAATAGAGCGTGATGTCAAGGCATGTAGTTTTGTGGAATGCGAAGGTGCAGCGAGCAGGACCATCGTCGTATCAGTCTCACAATCAAGCGCTTCGAACTACGATAATGCAAATGTCAGCATCCACCCATGGCTTTTAACAACAAGTCGTCTCACCGCCTGCTGCAGAGCTTCCCAACGCGTATCCCATCTCCTCCGCCTCTTTTCGATGTTGTTGACGTAGTTCGGGTGATACTCCAAGTCTAACAACTCATCCTTGTCATCCTCGTCCTCATCCACCCACTCAGTGCCATCATCAGGCACCAACCCATTTACCCAGTTCCCCTCCTCAGCAACCTCAAAGCGTTCCTCGCCAGCGGTCTCCTCACCAGAGGAGTACGGCTCTGGGCTCGTGTCCCGTGGCTGTGTACTGTCCACACGTGGCGGCGGCTTGATCTTCCGCTTCCGAATCGTGCTCTGGACTCGCAGATCCGCGGATGCCTGACGGCGCTTGATTTTGCCAGTCGGGAACGGGAGGCTGACTGGTTGATGGCTCGGGCTCGACTGAATACTCATCGTTGCAGTAGAGTCAAAACGTGGCCGTACGCCTCCTCCGAACGCACGAGATGCCTGCAAGAATGTCCATGGGTTGTATCCAGCTCCAGGGAAGGGCGTCGACGATGGTGAGAACGTGGAGTCAGATAATGCTGCATGGTTGTTCAAGGCGTACATCTGCATCTGGAGAGCGAGTTGCTCTTCAATCACCGAGGGATGGTTGGGGTCGTAGTTGGAGGAAGGCGCAGTGTGGATAGGATAGGTAGAGTAGACGTTGTTGCGCCGAACATGAGAGAATGGGTACGGATAGGGCGAGCCTACTGGGGGTGCCGGGCTGGCTTGCATGCTTTGCATACTAGATATCAATGGCGATGGAGCAGCAGTTTGGCTGTGAGGCGTGGGCGGTATGGGCGCAACTGGACGAGGAGACTGGAAGTAATGCGATATATAGGCAGCTGCAGCATCATCGTGATTTTGATCATCCGAGTAGACTTGATTTTGAAGTGGGTGCAGCCGTCCATTGCTCTGCTGCGGTTGCGGTTGCTGCTGCTGCTCTGCAGCACGAGTGTCAGATAACGTGCGGCTCTGTTGGTGCCGCAGATTATGCTCTGGTACAGAGTCAATCTGCTCAGTTGTCAGCCTCACCGGAAGTGCAGGCGACTCACGGCGCTCCTCAGTAGATCTGATGGGAGGCTTTTCAAAGACGGCTGCGTCGAAGCTTCGGAGGCCAAGACGGTCTGTGCTACCGTTGCGGTGGTGCTTTGCGAGGCTTGAGAGGCGCTGGTTTGCAGTCTGCGCGGGGTATTGCCTAGCAGAGTATGGGTCGGGTAAGCTGGCAGTGGGTGAGCGTGGGGTATACGATTCTAGTTCTCCGTCGTGGTCTCTGTTACCGTCGACGGGAAAGTCATTGTCGTTTTCTATGAGAGTGTCATTATCATCATCCTCATTATAGTCATTCCCATGAACATAGTCGTCGCCGTTCTTAGAGGTTGCGATATCGTCTTCTGGCTCTTCTTGGACAGGCAGCGACTTGTCGGGAGTTCGGGTTTTCATGGCCTGCAGGGGAGGTGTATTGCTTGCAAATTTGCTGACCGCAGGGGGCGTGACACGAGCATTGTCGGCGACAATGGCTTTCCGCACAGTGGGCGGCGGACTGGGAATCCTAAGGGAAGAGCTTCCATTAGATTGATATGAGTCCCGCTTATACGAGACGTAGTCTACGTCCACTGCAGTCACACTCTCACCGCCCGACGAGCCAGTAGGCGTGTGGTAAGGGGGAGAAGTGCGCTCAGGAGAGGGCACACGGTGTCCTAAGGGTGAGTAGGACGGAGACCCAGTCTGACTAGACGGAAGGGGACGCTCGCGTGCACGAGCACTATCGCTCGGCTGTACTTCCTTCTCGCGTTCGACAACGCGGATGGAACGGGAGCGCTGCATGCCGCCGCTCCCCTGACCGTCTGCATCCTTTGGACTAGTTCGTTCGTTCACGCGGACACGATCACCGACGGGGTCTTTGAGAGGTGACGGCACCTCACGTACGTACACGGCGCCGCTCGCGGCGCCACCAGCGTAGGCGACGCCAGACATTCCAGGTACAGGCGGCTGCTGACTCAGGGCCTGCGCATAGTCTGCTCGCTCAATCTCTGCCATGAGCTCTTCCGTCATGTGCCAATTCTCCTCCATTGCATGGAAGTGTGTTAAGAACTGGGGAGGAGGGACCCTGTTAATAGGGCGTGGGTAACCCATTTGTGGATTCATGAGGTGAGCGTGGATGTTGGGTTGACTGAGCGAGTGTTGGGGTAGAGGAGGAGGCTGATGCATGTTGGGCTGGCTGAGCGAATGTTGAGGAGGTAGTGCTTGATGCATATTGGGGTGCATAGAGGCCGAGGGAGAATAATGCCTCTGAATTGCTTCTTCTCGGAGATGAGAGGGCTGATTGAGTGGAGATGGAAGTTTAGTCACGTTGGGTGCGGCTTGCGTGAGGGCCGGCGGTGAGGAAGTTCGTTTTGACTGCGGGGGGATGTTTGCAGTGGTAGGACTCGCTTGCTGTGCCTGACGCTGATTCGCAGACTGAGTTGCTGCTCCGTAAATCTGCATGACGGATGGTACGATAGGTAGAGATTGGGCCTTGATCGTCCTTTGTCTTGGAGATGGGGACATTTCACGAGGTGGGGTGTTCTGGGACGAACCTGATATAAAGGGTCAGTTTTGGGGTTTGGAGCGGTTATTGGATAAGAGAAGATCCGCTAGCGTTGTAATAACGACTAGTGAATGACAATGGAAGAAGTGTGATATTGTAGTAGTAGACGTAAAATAGACGATGATGTGAAGGATGTATCGGTAACGCACGAACGCCCGGAACAAGCTAATCGTGATGGTTGATGATGATCCACACCAAGTTGGGCTGCGATGGGAACAACAGGCACGAGAGCAAAAAATAAATGGCACAAACCTTGAACACCGGAAAACATTTGAACTTTTCTTTGTTTATGTGGGGACTGTGAAGTTGTCATGGGCTAATTGTATCTGAGCTCTCGATGACTTGTTGTGTTCGCTGTTGATGGTGGAAGAGAGCAAAGGATAGATCTGAGAGATAACGAGTTGAAGAATGCGCCAGTCAGCGCAAGTTCAAACGTACGCGCGTTTCCAACGTGGCGTGCTGCGTTGCAAACAGACTGTAGGGGTGGAAAAGGGCCGTGATATTGGAAGCGCTGCCTCGAGGCAAAGCCTTTACAAGGAAGTCCGGGTCCAATCTCACAGGACATTTCATTCCTGTGCCAGGTTAAGGCGCCATCAAGCCAGCTATAGCTAGTAGCGCTGGGGCCAGCTGTATTTCCTACGTTCATATCAGAAACAATACTCACCAAGGGGCAGAGAATGGAAACACGGTCACAAGAACAAATGTCACATTACGAAAGACACGATGATCTAGCGAGTTCCGACTTATCCGAATCCCATTTGATGGCCTCCACCTCAACCAGTGCAAAGTAAGCTTAATTTTACGTTTATAACACGAGGTCCGGTTCATCACCACTCTAATAGGTTTCTACAGCTTTATCAATCCCTTCCAGCCGATGCACAGTACGCTCTTGTCGAGAACTCACTTGCACCCCTCCTTGATGTGGTTTCCAAACCGAAATCAAACCTCATTCTTGCATCAGCAGCACGCATGCACAAAACATATGCTAGCATGCCATCCCTGAACCTGAAAGCAAAGAAATTGGAGATCGCTTCACTCCTGGACGAACTAGCCCGCGACCACAAACGTTCTTATGTGAAAGAAAAGTCTCGCAAAGAAGAACTTCTCGCAGAAGCCATCGAGAGCGTCATCGACTGGCTCAATGATATCTGGAGAGTCGTATACGAGTACGGTACAAACTTTTCAAAGGCCCATGATTGTCTTTTGCACGCGTTTAAAGCAATCGAACAGATCGGTGACGCGAGAGTCGGGTAAGGTGTCTTCATGTCCTCCTTGGTGTAACTTATATCGTTTCAGGTGCAAGTGTTCCTTTATGAACATGTACATCTCTGTGAAGATCAGGCGCTCCTCTGGCAAGGTCGTCAAGTCTTTCCATTTCACTGGCGCGCACAACCTCGATCGTGTCATGCTTTGGATTTGGCGCGACCTTTTCGTAGTCATGCTTGCCGATGGCACTAAGCGTCAGAAGTCTGCCATTCCAGATATGCTAGACGATATTCGCTCCCAATTTGGCTGGAACGCCCTCGAGCTATTACTCTACGGTGGTCAAAAATGTAAGCACCACTGACTCGATTAAACTGCGATGACCTTTACACCATGGCACCAGCCGATGACGACGAAGACGATTTCGATGATGATGTCGATTATGACGATGACTACAGCGAAGAGTACACTGATACTGACGCAAACTCCGATGGCACCGCTTGCAGCGATGCTCAATGTCCTTGTGGTTCCCACGCATCTCATTGGTCTAGCAAGTTCAACAACGTTTGCACCTCCCTCCGCAATCTCATTCGCACCTCTCTCATTTCTATCTTTGCTACCTCGCCTAGTCCAATTCTCTTTGCAAGTATCAGTGTCATATCTGAAGCGGATGCAACGGATGAGGATGACCTTTGCGAAGAGCTCCTCCCCACACTCATGCGCATAGCCACCTACAGCCCCGAGAATTTTGCCGCAGCACTGCATATATGTGCGTTGCATTCACATACAGATAATATCAGTACTCTACTCGCCAGCCACTCTTACCTTCTGCGTCCCTGCGACGCGCCCGCACACCAGCTTGCAACCGTAATACTTTCTACAGAACCATCCTACCAGCTCAATGCACTGCGCATCGTCGAAAAAGAGCTGCTCAACACTGTGCACGCCATCCACGCCGCCGTACGGAACGCATTTTGCCATATTGATGTTCAGGCCAATAGGACGGAGCTGACTGAGATTATGGCATTGCATTCGGAGGCACTGGGGCGACGAGGGCGGATTGACCGCTGGGTGGGTGCTGTAGTGTCACCTACAAGTGATACTGCCCATCCGATGGCACTGGCGGCGCTTATGATGGGGCTTCCTCTCCCCCCTGGGATGGAAGGGGCTATGGACGATGCCGACCCGCTCGGGTACATTGACATGGATATCCAGGATCCGGATCTGGATGACCTGCGGGAAGATTTCCGTCCAAACCTAAAGGCACATCTTGTGGGTTGGATAGAAGCGGGCCGGACAATCAAGGGAGGGGCGTCGGTGTTGCTGAAACTGTATACTCTAATCGTCGAGATGATGCCGTTCTTGGGTGCACCAGATATAGTGGATGAGATGACGGGACGGTGTGTTCCTCCCCACTCATCTCTGAGATCAATTGATTGAACTGACGGCAAAGACTCTCTGAGAAACCAAGTAAAGTCTTCCTCTGCGATGCCCTTGATGCACTGTGGGATTTCTGCAGACAGCAGAAGCGCAAGTTCGCAAAGCCAAAGAGCAAGCAAAAGCCGCCACATACCCCCAATCCCTCCCAAGCATCAAGCCAATCAAGTAATTCTGGGGGCGTAACGTTCGTTGCAATAAATAACCCGCAGTCTTGTCCGGTGGGAGTGGTGGATGATGTCGATTGAGTTTACTCCTCCAATTGTTCCTACAGTGCGCACTCTTAGCTTACTAGTACCTTATTTTGTGGTTCCATCAATTCACCTTGCTCCAGATCATTCTCGTCTTGAATAATGAACCATGATCTAGGGTTAGGGTTTCCCACACGCATTTACGCCGCAGCCTTGTTTCCGTATTTGGGACTCACTTTGTCAAAAACTTCGCAGAAGTTACTCAACTCCTTGTATTCAGCATGCGACCAAGTGATTCGCCCTACGTGGAACCAGTTTAGATTGGTAAATAATACAAAGACTGCGGGTTAATTGGCCCTGCAACTCCGCAATGTAAGTGTACCCATGACATTTGTTGTTTGGTCCCATTAATATTCATTCCTTTGAAGACAGCGATCGACGACATACATCTTCGCAGCAGTTTCCCTATATGACGCGTCTTGTAACTGGAATCAGGGCTATATAGTTGAGTGACGAAGCATTAGCCGCACAGTAACTGCTCGTACTTACAAGTCTCAGAGCCGCCTTCCTTTATTCTCTTCTTATAACGGAGCATCAACCAGCAACAATACCTTGAGTTCTTTACCACCCGCTCACTCATTCATTCGTTCTTTCAACTCTACTTGCAAGCCAAGATGATGTTTATTTTCCGCTCGACGTTTATTACCGCTGTATCAGCGTTCATGATAACGCTCAGCTTGTTTTCAATGTCTGGTACGTGCAGCCGCTGTATTTCTGCGTGCTCATATTGATCCCACAATCACAGCCTCTGCTGTACCACAATTCGGTCGTCCTATGCTGCATGTATTGGATGCCAGCGCAACCTCTTCTGGGCCAGTTGAGGCGGTTCCCACGTCAGCAGCTATTAGTACGGGCACAGACCCGGATCCTGGTATCCAGGTCAACGAAGCAGCCTCATCATCATATGTATGTGTTGATCATTTATTGTTGTGATGGCGATTCTGATGCCGTATGACACTTTCAGACGTCGAGTACAACTACGACGACGCCGGCTGCTAGCAGTACCAGTACGAGCGGCGCGTCGAGGAGTCTATGTGGTGGTATGAGCGTTATACTAGGTGTCGTCGTGAGCGGGGTGTGGTTGGTGTTTTGAGCTGTGCAGTGGTTGATGTTGGTTGGCGTTGAGCCAACGAGGACTTAGTCGGATTTCACATAAGAGACATTATCTATTTCTGACATATAATAGTGCTATCTACGTGGCTTTCGTCATCATTATCGTTATTATGAGTAAGCCTATTGCCATAGAAGACTTCAACGGGTGGAGTGTCATTACTGCTGGTTATTTATGTATCACCAGTATCTGCGTCTGTAGCTTTAGTAATTGCTGTATACATTTAATAATCCACTGTATGTCCATCTCTGGTGACTTACACTGATTACCTGTATCCGTAAATCCGCAAACCAACCAGGGAAGATGGTCACTCTATAGAGCTGCTCCAGCACTATCTTCGTAGATTGTTCCGTCGATACTCAGACGGGTAGTGGTGCTGATTGATGCCAGCCTACGAAACATCGAGTAGTTAGATTTCCGTATATTTGATTAGATGACTCGCGTCCCCTGGTTCTCAGAATGTACCGACACAAATTGACAGAAAACAATGCATTCCGAGGATTACGAAGCAACAAAAATCAATGGGCCACCCACATGCATGCCCGATTCTACTCCCCGGCTGATCATCTTACCTGGCTAATGTAGTGAGTGTGCCAACGAAGGACTTCGCAAGAATTTTGACTATGTTTGCGGTCCACATACAGTCGGCAACTTGAATCTAGACATAACACACAAATGATTGCGCGATATGGATATTAATAGCCACAGTAGTACTTCCTGCTAAAGTCTCAATGTCGTAGCCCTGCAGTAGTGAGTATTAACACAATAAGACTAGAACATAGAATAAAAAGAATACCACTTGACGTGTCTTCCAGAGTGAGTCCCGGTATGCGTTGAACTCTGGCAAGGAGCCGTTTGGCATCAGCCCCTTCACCAGCGATAGTGACGTGGTAGAGTTTCTGAAATAAAATGTTTGAGTTGTCAAAAAAGGGCATTACACTCACAGTGACTATTCTGGTTTGGCGTTCGTCGTATTCGTTGGTGTCCAAACCATACCAAGCAGAAAGTCCTCATGATGTCGTGAAGCTCATCAAATGTGCGTTCGCAACTTCAAGTTGTGTCACTGTGGCATTCTACACAATATTGTGACGTGCAAGAGCAACTGAGTTGAACATGTTGCGGGAACTGTAGCGGAATGCAGTGCATGAGCAGCACTAATACTTATCTACAGTGGATAGGTGGATGTGTATCATATCATAGTGGTGGGCACGGAGGAGTGTGGGAAATGTGAGATGGCAGTGACCGCAAATCATTACATAACGTGACAAAGTTCTTACTGGGCCACATGCCTATATATATGGCCTCTACTCACTCATAGTAGTACTAGCAGGTATTGCAGTTGCAAGTCCGCTACAGTTGCCTTGTTTGATGCTCATGTTAGAGGGAATCAAATACGTCGATCCTCGCGCCGATTCTGTCCTCGAGTTTTCCGACAGAATCGGATAGAATCGAGAATCGTTCAGGGAGCGACTCCACAGCCGCTTCAACGCGTACGTACACGGTGGGCGGCTTCGTGACGCGCTGTTGCCTTTTCGAGCGGAATCAGCCATCCTACATACATGATAGTCTGCGGGAAGTCGACTGGTTGCACCGGTGCATCGTTGCGGTGCTCTGCTAGTATATATTACTCTTCTCATTTTTTTTATCGATTCTCTGATGACATGTGTCCAATTCCCGCCTTCCGACACCCAGTGGTGCGCCTTTCACGAGACTAGTTGATGAAATACAACGATATTCTATATTCCATTCCTACGCCGTACAAGGCAGAGCTTCATTTTATAACGAGTCCAGATGATGCTACCGGTCACGGTGTGCTTACTGGCGGTTCAAACTAAGTACTGAATGATGACACAGAAGTTTGAGATATTTTTTGCACCAGCCTGAGTGGAATATTATGCATTTAAGATAAATCTATGGTATAGTCCGTTCGAAAGTCCAAACCGACGAGTGTCCTTCACTGAGGTACCGTGCTTCAAAATGTCGGACAACCCTATTGTCAACCCTCCTCGCAGTAATAATAGTCCTGTTACAAATTGAGATTGATCGAGCTGTGGTGTCGAGTTGTGACGCTTACCTTCATGTTGGTCACTATGTTGCAACAAGATGGTAAGTAGCCACTTGAACAATTCTCTGAGTAGCTTTGGCACGCGTCATCATTAACATTCCCCACTTGAGACCGATCCTTTTGCAACACAGGTAAGCACAGGTGTCTTTCTACATTTATGAATCTTCCTCACCTCTATGCAGCAAAAAGGCTGGCCGTCACCACAATCGATCGAATTGGTTGAGGTTGTGTTAGCAGCAGTAATAATAGCGGCCATAACACAGGCTTTGGAGAGGAGAAGGGAGACAACAGAAATCGTGAAGATTCGAGTGATCATTTCGATGTGTATCGAGGTCTAAGTGAATGCTGTTTCATGGGCAGATGCGACCTTTTGAATATATCGGCCAGTGGCCTGAGTTCAACGGAGCCTACACTGGATTGGGCAGTACTAAGGTCAGTAAATTGAGCTGAAAGTATAACGAGCTTTGAACGTCATCATACCGGATGTTACCAGGCCCGAGGCAGCCAGCCACTGTCCAGTCCTTGACTGAAGTTCGGATGCGAACTTTTGTAAATGGTGGCTCTGTTTGGTTAGATGTATAATAAGGGACGGTTTCCTGTTGTGAGGTGGCCGCCGGCCATAATATAATAGGCTTGGGAAAGAAGAAGGGAGAGATAACAATTGTGAAGATTGAAATGAACATGTCGATGTGTATCGAGGTCTAGGCCAGTGCTGTTCCATGGGCAGATGCAACCTTTCAAATCTGTCCACCAGTGGCCTTTCACCGTGGAGTCTACACTGAACTGGATAGTACTAGTGGGGTTAGTACAATGAGTTGAACGGCGTTGAATAAACAATACCATCATACCCGGTGTTATAGTGGGTCCGAGGTATTTATTCATCGAGGCAACCATCAATAGTGCTGCTGCCGTTCAGTCCTGAACCGAACTTCGGATGCGAACTTTTAAGTATGGAACCGCTGTTTTGTCAGTTGTATGCTAAAGGATGGCTTCCGGTTTTGTCGTGTCCACGATGTGGGCTTGGGAAAGGAGAACGGCAAAAATAGTAGAAATGGTGAAAATTTCAATGAACATGTTGATGTGTATCGAGGTGCTGTTCCATGGACCATGGGCAGATACAGCCTTTCACCTTGGAGTTGACACTGAATTGGGCCCGGGCAGTACTATAAAGTGAGTTGAAAATTGAACGAACTTTGATAGTCGTCCATACCAGATATTGCTTGGTCCGAGTCTAGGGTGTTTATTCATTGAAGCAGCCATCATTACTAGCGCTGCTGCCGTCCAGTCCTGAACCGAAGTTTGAACACATAATTTTGTTAACAGGAACGTTGTTTGATCAGGGTTTCGATATATATAATACGGGAAGGTTTTGTGGCATCCGTACCTTGTTTCTACTAGTACAAGCACCGGTCTGAACGTTCTGCGATAAGCCGAATATCTGAATCTGACGCTCGCCACGATCCGGATGGAACCCCCCACGCCGAGCTGCAGGTGCCTTCTTGCTCTTCCGAAGTATTTCGGCTCCCAAATATTGTAATAACATCATATTTTGCGTGCCGAGCACTAAAATGGGGTGATTTCAGTACTGTAGAATAGTTCTAGATGATTGGATCAATGAAGTGCCGCTCACTAAATGAAGTATCAGTGACCAAAGCAGATGCGTGTCGTCCTTCTCCCTCTTATTCATCATGTAGAAGTTATATAGGGATCTTGCATGTGACACACCGATACCGCCTCGTACAGATAGCATAGAATTGGCTATAGGAGTATTATACACATGCTACCCAACCTCGAGCGAACTTCATGCCCAGAGCAAGGGAGATATATCTGCTGGCATATGGCCACATTCCATGAGATACGACCGAATCGAGATATGGGTGCTGCGCATGGAAGTAGTAGACAAAGCAGACACGTGAATGAAGCGCTGGCAAAAAAAATAGCGCTCATGCAATGCACGCACATCAGGTTTGGAAGGTGACGAGGTATCGAAGATGTGGTGAAATGCGATCAGGTGTTTTGAGGGTGTGGAGGGCGCTGGAAGGGCCAAAATGCTATGCACAGCGGTCACCAGGTGAAGGGATGAGGTCGTGTGCAAAGCCGTAGTTATTGGAGTCATATTGAAGAGCAAGTTATCCTATGCGCCTTGCAAGAAATTAACTTGAAATATAGTGCTGACTGTTCAGAACTCGGCGGAACTGCTCATCGTTGTGCAAGTCTGAAAAGGTGGTGTGGTGAGATGACATCATGAGGGCGGGGATCATAGCGAAAAATAACGACCTTCGCCCATGGCTGTTCGCAAAGGAACAAGAAGGAGGGGTGGAATGCATTAGATGATATCATCTTATCATCCTATTTGATGTTCAGTACTGCTGCTCGATGCGCTATGACGTTTGAGAGGATACAGTACTTTGTACGATGTGAATGAGGCAAAATTCAAACGTTTCGAGCCTCGTTGCGCATTTTTTGTTCTCACGTCCTGATTAAGGAATGTTTCCTTATATATCCACCTCATACCATGCCATGGTTTCTACTCTTTTCTACTCCGACCAAAATCTCCCATTAAATACGAGCTCACGCCCGTTGTGCCTTCGGCACAAATCGAAGGAGCGCGTAGCGCTCCTTCAGGGGAGGAAAATGAGTGTTGTTCCTTCGTCACAGGAAGCCAAGGAGGGCTATGCCCTCCTTTGGCTTCCTGGCCTCAGGCTGCATCCTAATAAATTGTACATTTTGGATAATTTGGAAAATACATTTATGAGCAGTTCAAAAAAACTAAAAGTACAATCTACCACCACATAAAGTACATAGTAAGATCAGTCAGTTCTACATTCTTTGAGCAGGATTCTGACAAAATTACAAAATATATAACAGTATCATTCAATGTATTTATTTTCCCATCTTTGCCTGTTGGAAAAAAGTTCCCAGGGTTTTAAGGCCTTGCAAGACATTTTAATGCTCTATTTGGAGGGTGTCCTTATAAGGGCTTTTAAATGGGTAAGATAATATTTTAATGCCCATTAAAAGGCACTTATAAGGGCCCTTTTGATGACCTTATGTTGAGTTTTGCCTTGCTGTGCCTCAGAACGGCCTGTTAAAATGCCTTATAAGGCCCTCTTAAGGTGCCGAGCCGAACTTGTAATCCAGCAGTATTACAATGGTACCTAACTGTTTTCCGACACCTACCCATCTCCCAATTGTCTCCTACATCCTCCCGTCTCCCGTCTCCCGTCTCCCGTCTCCCGTCTCCCGTCTCCCGTCTCCCGTCTCCCGTCTCCCGTCTCCCGTCTCCCGTCTCCCGTCTCCCGTCTCCCGTCTCCCGTCTCCCGTCTCCCGTCTCCCGTCTCCCGTCTCCCGTCTCCCGTCTCCCGTCTCCCGTCTCCCGTCTCCCGTCTCCCGTCTCCCGTCTCCCAATTTTCCTGTCCTCACATTCTCCAGTTTTTGAGTCTGCATTGTCTTTGTCTCCTTTTTTTATTTGAATCTTATCTCCTGTTACTGCATTTGTTATCTCCCTGTCTGTGATTGTATCATATGTTGTTCCATTTATGTACATATACTGTGACAACTAACAATTACAGTAGGCAAAACACTCAAATCCCGTTGTCCCCCTGCTCAAACACCATGTATTACCAACATCGTGCTAAGTTTCCAATGGGTGACATTATTTGCATCAGGAAATTAACTCTGACTTGATATGACCAGGCAGAATTGGTAATCAAAACGCATTATTGTACATCATTTTTTAGCCTTAGATATTTTTATCGTGGTATCACACATAGGTGAAATAAGATACAACTATGCAAGAGAAGCGTCACCTTGATGTACATCTTGGAAGCAGACAACAATGAGATAGCCACATATCCATGTACTGTAATTGAATGGCTGTATGACATCACATTTTCAGTAGATTCATAATGCGCTGTGACATTTTTTAAATAGTGAAATATGACATATCTAAATTACATTGAAGCTGCAAAAATTACAATAGTGACAACCCGCTTGTAATTACCTGTCTGGCCCTTTCGCATCTCCAGTAAACTTATAATGTATTGTGGCCTTTTTTAAGTGACGGGATATGTCTTATCTAAACTGTATACAAGCTACAAAACCTACCATCATGACAGTCCACTTGCGAGGCAATCATCACATTTCTAGTAGATCTATAAAGTGCTGTGACATTTTTTGAATAGTGAAATATATCATATCTAAATCGCATTGAAGCTGCAAAAATTACAATCGTGACAGCCCGCTTGTAATTACCTGTCTGGCCCTTTCGCATTTCCAGTAAACTTATAATGTGTTGTGACCTGTTTTAAATAACGGGAGAAGTCTGATCTAAATTGTATACAGGCTACATAAACTACCGTCATCAGTTATAATTACCTGTCTGGTCATCATCACACTTCCAGTTAATGTGTTGTGACATTTTAAATAGTAAGATATATTGCATCGAAGCTGCAAACACTACAAATGTGACGGCCTGCTTGTAACTACCTATCTAGTAGCGCGTTGAAAGCACCGCTGAGTGTTTGCTTAGGCACTAGGTGTTTGACGATATGGAGGGCTTTGAGATCTTGGGCATAAGTTGGAGGTAGTAGGCATTGTAGAGGAGGGAGAAGGTGTCCTAGATGGTGGTGGGGAGGGTGCTTGAGAATATTCTTCAAATCCGTTTGAGTCGGCAAGGTTGTGCTCTGAAACAGACAAATCATTGGTAAGATCAAATGAGGTTTCTTCTCGACTTACCATGAGTGTAACGAAGAATGCCGTGATGAAAATTTCAAAATGTGACACGATGATTAGGCCACACCAGAAAATTGACGAGGTAACAAAGGACATGGCTTGCGAAAGGGGACAAAACAAGCCACTCCATAATACCGTGCAGAAATAAGCACTTGAATACATGCTGCATTTGAGAGGTAAGTAGAAGTTTGATGATGTTGAAGGGACATCGCACCCATTCTGGCCAAAGCTGGTTGCCATGCATAGGACAATCCAAAACGTACTTATGGAGTAGGTACATAGTGAGAGTCGCTTTGGACTTTGTCATTGATGTTTGTAAGGAGCCCGCTGATCTGGTTACTATTTGCAGAATATCTCGCTGTATCTCCTGCCTATTTTCATTGGAAACTAACTTGAGCTATGGGCATACAAAAACCTGTGAGTAACTTACGTTTGTCACACATATTTCTACTAACTCCTCTTAGAATTGCTGTGCTTTCCCAACAAAAGGGGAGGAGAAGGAAATAAGATGTCAAGTGATTAGATTCAGGCAGTCATTAGTGGATAAACAGTATGTACCTTGCATTCGGTGTTGGTTTGCATTGACATTCACTATCCAAGGGAGGGGAATGGGAACGGCGGGGAAAGGAAAGTGAGGAATAAGATGTGTGATGGGAGGTCCAAGTACGCGCCCATGACGAAGAGCTTCAATATCACCATCTTCATTCCTCCCCAGTGAGGACGATTGCCGGAGGACTTCGATAATGTACCGCACTGTAGTGAAATACTTCGCGTCCATTAAACAAATGCTTATTATTTTTTTAAAAGACTCTACTCAATGCTACGAGGTTGTAACAACACGTATCATTAATCCTCCAATGTTAGCGTGATTAAGTGTCCTCTCCTCCAATAATACGATATTGGATGATGGGGCAGTATGTCTTGAGGTGTTCTGGGAGACATTTAAAGAGTCATAAGCGTGATAAACAAATAAAAACGCTACTGTATTTAAAAACACTGATCGTCAGTGTGTCCAGCCCAAAAAACTGATACGTCTTTCGCCAACTTTAAGGAATGACATCCGCTTGAGGTAAATAAGGGTGAATTGCTATCTGGAAACACGAGTGACTTTGTGAGGTGCTGCAGTAAATGGTCGGCCATTCATTAGTCAATAGTAGTAACCATATCCGAAGGTCCTAAAGCGATGTCTTTTACAGTGATGATACAGCAACCTCCGGTGATACTTTGCACGGTGCCCTGGACGAAGACGTGCTTGTTGACAATGGGAAAAAATTGGGATAGTAACAGCGAGCTCACACGTTCTGTTGAGGGCCGGTGACATATTGAGAGGCGTTTATTTTCCTGAAGTACTGCACGGAATTTCACCTGCTATTATGACCATCGGAAAAGCGCGAGCACCGTGAGGAAGAAGTTGTAAGTCCTATATAGATAGATGAATGAGCAAAAGAACAAACAAAAAGAGAAGTCACATACATTATTGGCAAAGAGATGAAGGGAATGCGCGAATGTGCCTTCATCGTCAATGAATAATTTTCCACACATCCAATAGATAGGTGTGCTATGTTCAGCAGAAGCACCAAATGTAAACACATCGACTGGAGTGGCGATGAACTCTTCATCCCAACCCCTGCTTCAGTTGAGGACAGCTTCAGGGTATCTTCTGAACTCCAAAGTAATTCTCCTGTAGAATAAATTCCTTCATCAGTAAACAGAATACAACCACTCATAAGAATCCATATAGCTGGAACTCGAACTCACTGAGTTGACCAATATGGAGACTTCGAAGCTGGAAGAGGCATTTAGAATGATGACCGAAACACCGCAATCAAAAATACTGGAATCGCTAGAGTGCCGGCAAAATAGGAGCTTTTCTGTGAGCAACCAACCTGGTCCCGAACCACAAATTAGAGACTAACAAAACAATCGAAAATTTCTTGATAAACTTACAGAGAAATGGATCCCTAAATTGGACAGCGACATCGCTAGCTGTTGGACATATTTGGATACAAGTCTTGCTTGATATACTAAAACATTATTCATTGACTTTGAGCACTACCTCTTTCATTTCATCAGGAGTTTGGAATCCATGAATTAGTTGTGACTTACGTGCGTGGGGGATCAAATACGCATGTTCAACGTCGCACAATTCAGAAACAGGATGATCGACCTGAAAGTGAGGACTCAAATGGTGGTATAGTGAATAGCATCAAGGGCATAAAATGGTGGGACGGGATCATCATAAATAATCCAAGTAATAAAAAAGGTGGCGATGAAAGTAGCACTGATAAAGTCTAATGTACAACAAACTGGTTAACTTACATCAATACAACATGTAGTAGGCGTATGTCATGTACTAGGTACAACAAGTGAGATCATCAGAAGAGCGCAGATGCATCAGAAGATACAGATGAGGTCGAACACCAATCTTCAAACCAATAATCAAACCATTTGGAAGAGTTGACAGGTAGACGTGATTCGAATGTTCCAGCAGTTCCAGAAGAAGTGCACGTCCCTAAGGTCATTTTAGTGCGAGACAACCGAAGCAAAAGTTGTAAGCAGACCATCATCACTGTACTGAAATCCAGCAGTGCATGCTATGACCTCAGAAAACATGTCTACTTCAGCCTGCGCATGTTGTTTCTTCGACTCCAGAATGGAAAAGTCGGACTTGAGTGCATCAGGCGTTTTGTTCTTCTTTGCTTTGAAGCTTTCGGTGTTATCGGTACGTAGAGGCTTGTATTCTGCAGAGGATGTAGTGATGTAGGTACAATGTGTGACACGACCAAACCAAGCTTCCATCAAAGGGGAAAGAAAATAATTGTCATGCTGCATAGCGTCAGGACTGCGAGCTTCAACTATAAATAGCACTCACCATTGAGAGGTGTTCATAAAGCTCGGGAACTTCATGAGCTTGTGGGAAATCTACTTCAAACTGCCATGATGTAGCAAGCCATGCTTCGCATTTTTTGTGAGTAGCAGTTGAAAGTTCAAAATAATCGCAATTGGCCGGCAAAAGATCAACATCAGCTGGCTGAGTCACTGGGGGTGTAACTAGATCCTCGCCAGCCTTCTGTATAAGCTGCATCTTTAACCATGTAGCTAAGAACAGATTTAGAGTGTGAGGCATGATTTACAAACAACGTGGCTCACATGGGCAGCATTTGACCTTCAGTTCTTCACACAAGTTCGCAATAGCTTTACTAAATAATGAGACCTCCATCTGAGCTCAATACATCCTCTCTTCCATCAAGGATTGCCCTCCTCGCACAAGGAATGTAATGATAGTGTTGTGTTATTTCAGTAGCCGTCTCTCTATTGCGGCCACCCTCAGGCTCACTTGGAGGACAGCTATGAGATCAAGGGGGTCGACCCATCCAAATAGCACGGAAGTTGTGGTGAAGAGTGGGTCTGGAACCTGGAGTCGGTGTTAGAGAAAAAACAGTATGAGAACACATGGACTGACAATTTCATCTCCCTGATTCTGGAGCCAAGATTTGAGGGCGTGCTTGGTATGCTCGATTTCAAGAAAGTGCCTTGTCGAAGGCGTGAAGGATGCAGATGCAGAAAATAACCCTGAATTAATATTTAACATGTTGAAGTGGTGGATGAGTAGTAAAGAGGCTCAAGGGAAACTCACACAATTGTTCAGGGTTTAGTAGTTATCCAGCGCTGGCCAGCTAGCGGTGGCTGTGCGGTGGCGAAATTTATTTCAAATAGCCAAAAATTACGTCACAAGACTGCACTTTGTAAAAAATCTATCATTATGCAATTCAATGGTCGGAGGCTCGAAGATCCCTATGCAACGTTTGTGAGCATAATATCAGTTAACTATTTTGGTATCTTACATTGACAGATGTACGTCCATACTTGCATTTGCACGATTCCCATGTCCACACACTATGGCACCTGCTGTAGTTGAGCGTCTGAATTTTCAAAATAGGTCACAACACGGAGCCTGATGCACATTTCAATAGACCAGTACAAGATATCAAAGGTATCAACTTCTTCGGAGTGCTTAACTGCGTGTAATCCTGCAGACATCATACTTGCTGCAGGTTGCCATGAATCAGCAGTACATCGATGAATTTAACTCTGGCAACTCACTTGATGTTGCACAAACTCACAAGCACTTGTAGGAGGTCTGGGTATCCTGGGTCATTTGTTTCTCCGAGCAGACCCAACAGTTGCTGCAGTAGTTGTGCATAGATAGTAGAAACTGGGAAATATAGATACCATGATGTTGACGGGGAGCCCTAAGATTCTTATCACCTTGACCAACTCAGTGAGCCGAGTGAAGAGGGCGCTGTACCACTAATTCAAAACAACAATTTTAAGTGAATGAGAGCTCAACGAAAATAAGCGACTTACAGTAACGAGGACAAAGACTACCGTCTCCACGGGTGGGAGTGCAGCAGTCCTGAAGATAGCTGGTTCCTCATCGCCAATCACGACTCGGGCACCAGAAGTCGAGCTGGCGCAGAAAATGAGATAGTAGACCAGCGACTTGACGATCTCATGTTTCAGAAGCCACATTAAGCCATTGGCCTGCGTGATATATAAGAGCTTGACACTCAAGGAAATCCAAAAGACTAACTGAAATGGGGAGCAATACAAAGTGTGGGAACATGAAGCACCTAAGGAACTCCACACACTTGTTCGCTAATAGGCTCGGATCTGCGGCGGCCGAGTCATGGAGGCCGAAACCAAACATTGGTCTGGTGTCCAAGATAGCCAATTTGGCCATATGCTTCACTTCAGAAGTAAAGCCTGTAAGCAATTTCGACACCTATTCTAGGTTAGAGATGCCGATAGAAACAATGTGGGCAACATACCAATGCTAACATTTCATTTGTTGTAATGACAGTTATCCCAGTCATTGGACACAACTGGAAAGGGTCAGTATGTCCAGAAGATATTAGATCAACGAGTTTATGACCTTGTTCCAGGTCCTCGTGAGCTATGTTAACCACAGACAAGACTCTCCTCAAAGAGTGTCTCGAAAAAATGCATCCTTTGTTCAGTAAAACTTGGTTGCATGAGTAAAAATGGATTCTGGACCTCCCCACAGCAAACCGCGAGTTTCATCTTGAGCCGCAGGCAGACCAGGGTTTGCTTCCATTGTGGAAAGCCCGGGAGAATCGTATGCAGTGTGTCTGCATAGGAAACAGCCTTGGGCACATCTGGTTGCGATGCATCATTGCCTACCTGAATGCTGCTAGCATCCTTAGCGGAAGACATCATCCACGACTCTGGTACAGAGTCTATAGGAGAGTAGAGGTTCACAGAAGAGCCCACAGGAGACTGTGGTGCTGACAAATACACCCCTGGCATGACCGAAGGTTGTTCGCATGAAGTTAGAGGTTCGGCCATTGCGAAAGTGTTACCGGCCATCTCCTGGTATAAAGGTGAATACATCTCAGGGCCGGAAGAGGACTGGAGAGCAAACCTGTGTAGTGACGCCAACTTCAATCCCTGATGATGCCGAAGGGTTCTCGATTGAATCGAAAATATTCAAGAATTGTGCCAACACATGGCTATAGTCAGACAGGGAGAGGAGACCAGGAGAGGAATGGAAAGCAGGCGGGAAAGGGGAGCAGACCGGAAACTAGAAGCAGAAGCGCACACAGGAACGTGTCCCATAGGATAATCAGCGGAATGGGCAAGTGTGTTGTAGTTACCCCCATTGTCTGTGTCATCCTGAGGCTAAGGAATTGTTACATGAGATCACTTCAATACTACAAAGTGAGCTCACCCATTGATAGACTCGATGAATCTTATCAGGCCCTTGTTTGTACCAGGCAATGTCCCAATCCAATGTCACCCCCGAGACACGGCGCTACAAGACTAATCAGTGGGAAGGCACCACAGTCCAGATGCAAATTCATACATCAATGTAGATGGGAACCTCTTTGCCTTGTTGGCCGGGTTCGTAAGCAGGATCGTGGTCTTTGATGCTTGATACCAGATAATCGAGTAATGTAATTTCGAGCTTTAGCTACAGGGAACATGAGTGTATAATCCCCACAAAAGCAGCCACCTACAGCGTCAAGCTGGTTACTGACACACTGCGGCCAGTGATGAGATACTCGAAGTCTTAAAGAAATGGGAACCACCTACATATAATGGGTAAAGGACGGGTCGTGGGGGTATCGCCAAGTATCCCGTGAAATGGAACCTTTCACTTCGACCAGTTATACCTCCCTGAAGGGACTAAGTTAGCAACATTGTTGGCAGGGCAAAAAAAACACATATGGCGAGAGGCAAAAACGTTGGATGAGTCTCGCCGAAAAAATAACAGTTAACATTCTGGGGTTCCATAATGTTAGACAGAGCAAGACGTGGTGGGTTCAATACATGAAAATATCCACCTTTAAATATAATTACTTGCTTCAGGTCCCAGTTCTGTTCGCTTGCGGTCGCCTAAATGTACTGCTAATCCGGTGGAATTAGGTCTTTTGGACACTAAAAGTGCTAAAAAGGGCGAATATGTGTAGAGCATCAGCGTAGCGCTAGTGTGAAAGAGCGGAATAGCGGTAACATAGTCACATTCACCTGTACAGTAGCAGCGACAAGTCCGTTGAAAGGCACCGCAAGCCCTGGCCATGACTGATCCTTTATGTACTGGCTACATTGGGCTGTTACCCCAATATTTTCAAGACCTAATTCTCATAATATAGATCAACTTATCTATCATACATCTCATCGAATTGTTCCAACAACAATTCGTCGCTGGAACTGAGCGACTCTTCAATATCCAGTCCATTCTCAGTACCCTCATCTTCATATTCGAATTCATCGACTTCCATGTTATCTGCGGGTTCTTCAATATCAGTCAAAAATGGATGTGATGGTGTGTCTGATTGTTGAAGCCCAGCCTGCGTAGCGCGACAGTGAGAGTACACGTGGCCGACACCGAGCCCAAGTGAAAGCGCATGAGCATGTCGCGATCTACAAACCTAACATGATGAATTGAATAATGCTGACTTATGATGTGATACAACTGACTCACCGATTGATATAGTATTCACACCAATCATTCTTGTCCCCTGCACATGCCGATACTCCCAATCCATCCTTATGTCTCCTCCCGGCGGTGAAACGAGGTACAATATGACACCCACGAAGCACATCTGCAGGATCAAGGAAGTCAAATGAGTGTTCATCCGTCAGGGGGGGAAAGTTCACTCGATCTAGAGTCGAGGTAGACCAGTCGGAACGCTGATCCAGCGGCTTGTACCAATGAATCCATAGGAACTCCCATTCTGATTGGAGTATAGTTGACCATTGTGCGTCGGTAATGATCACATTGATGTGATATACAACCCATACCCTGCTGTAGATATATTTATGATCTTGGCATTCCATGTCAAGGTTGGAACAAACAACCATGACGTTGTGATGAGGAGTTCTTGGGTTGATGACGTCTTGGGCTCTGCGAACATCATATGTTGTATAGTTGAACCCTGGCAACGTGATGCTCATACATCCGATCATCCTTGATTATGATTGTGTTGATGTTGTATTCATTTCTCAGCCCTAGGGAATCTTTCGATGCATTGGTTTGATGCAAAGATGGTGTTTCAGTTTGGAAAAAAATGCTTACAAGGGAGTGTTAGAAACCACTGAGAAAGGTAATACTGCCACTGACTGCTATCGCTGGATCGCCTGATGATCGATTAGATATGA